CGATTTGGAACGATTCTTAAGGATGGAATGGAAAGAAAGAGGCAGTTCTATGATGAGTTTCTTGGCATGATGATTGTTGCTTCTCTTTAGTTTGGGGAAATAATTAATTGGCTAAGTGCCATAAAAAAAGATGGGGTTAGAGCGCCAACAAGACCAAATATGTGAGTTTGGATGAGTAACTATGGATCAACAATATGCCCTTGATTGGTAAAGATGGAAGTGGCACCATGAGCACAAATATTCAAAATTAGAAGAACAAAATAATTATTATTGTTAGTAATAGTGCTACCACGGTTTCTAGGACTCCTCCTTTTACGAGAAGAACTTTTCTATGGATAGTGATAAAAAGTATGAATAGTGGAATTTTCCAATCTACTCAATCAAGTAATGTGAGGTTATTTAACAACTCAAGGGTTCAAAATATGAAAAGGAATATTTAACCTGAGGTACTAGAGAATTAAATGTGATAAACTAGTAAGTATCGTGAACAAAATAATACTAGCAATGATAAACATAAGATTTATAATTGCACGATCTAAATGCTATTTCCATTTTGGGTGAGCCCTTGAAAAAATATCAAGCTTGTTGAGCATCATATTACAATAATGTCTTTCTGTAAGAGGTTCACGGAGAGGGAAATATTTTCAAATGATTTTGTTAGCAATGAAGATTAAGAAAGTTTATGATTTATTAATTTTTCGAGACGATGCATTAGAAGAAATGCACAAATTACCATTAAAAAGGGAATAATTATATGGAAATCCTAATAACTGATAGTTTTGCATGTTTTCTCAGTTCATTTAGAAGAGTTAGAGCTGCTAGCTTATCTATTTATATATCATCATATAATTCTCTTATTTGAATAAATCTCCCTCTCGAATCATATGAATGATTTCAAGAGGAGAGAAATAAAAAATGATATGTGACGACAAATAGATAAATAAATAAAAATAAACAAACGGAAGACTGGTATATGGGTAATCCTCGAGTGATGGGTCGAGAGCACACATCCAAACATGATTGAATCGAAGTACCTTGAAACACAATATTCATGAGTCACCCGTAACCAAATAACTAAAAAGAATACTTTTGGTTTTGGGGTCAAGAGTCTCTCAGAGGAATGTATCCCTCTGGTTAATTATATATTGGGGGATACCCAAGAATACTCTCGATAAAAAAAGTTTTGCTTATATTATCATGAACTTGGAGAATATGCTATCAAATGGTGGTTAGTCCATATGGGATCGCCCCTGATGCTTCAAAGTTCTCGCTAAGCCACAAGGCAGAGAATGAGTCTCTCACACTTCAAATGGGTAACGACTCATCGATTTTAGAACCTATGAGACAACTAAAATCATTTTGACGAGGATATCCCTATACGTCAGAGCTTATTGGGTCATAAGGGCAGAGGGTGAATCATTGTATCCCAAAAGAATGACAACTCATCGATAATAGGGTCCTCAAGATGATATCAGTGAAGTGAAAGGAGCGATAGGGCTCGAAGTAGCTTAGCAAGAAGAAGGGTAGAGTTGTCCTAATGGGTAAAGGTAGACGGTCGAGGTACATGAACCCATCATTTAATAACACTAGGACCTTAAGTCTACCTAGTCATGAAGCTAGTCAACCCGACACAACTAGAGATCCCCGCTGCTACCACCTCTCCTTTGACACCTGCTATTGCACCCATTGTTGCCTCATGTCTTGTGACACCTGTTGCTTCCGCACCTAATCCCCCATCTACTGTGACTGCTGCTACTGTTGACACACCTACTGCCCCACCTTCTTTGACACCTCTTGAGCCTGGTCGGTTAACTCCTGCCTGCCGATGATACATTTACTGCTAGAGGACACATAAGTTATTTCTATCATTATATTATGTTTATTCTTCATGTTATATGTTTTGGTTTTGTAACTAATTTGTTTCTTAAGAAGATTCATTCCCTACAGAGATTATCAAGAGTAGGTATGATCAACCCTATCTCTCGCGAAAGCAAATCTCTGTAGCCACTCGGGACTTGTGGTTCAGGGAGTTTGAGATGCGATCATGTAATTTGCATCAAATTTGTAAATTTGACTTAATTTTATACTAACATATGGATTATTTTTTATGTTGTAGAGGTCCTTCATCTGGCTCCCAAAACACCACCATGAAATCCACCGAATCTTTGAGATTCGGGAGAAATGTTCACGACAGCTCACCGTAAGGGAGAGCAGCCTGCCTGGATTGGTGAGGGGCTCTGGGATTAGTTAATCGCAACTTGGGCCTCTCATGATTATTAGAGGAAGAGACAGACAAACCGGCCAAACTAGGAGACTAAAGGGGTCAGAGGAGCTGTGCTCCATATTGGCAGACTGTCAACCATACGGAGCACTATAGAAATCTAGTAAGATTTATTTCAAATATTTAAAAATTAATTCAATCTTTGAAGTAATTTTGTAGTGCTAACGCTACACAAGCCAAGAATTTAAGTCGTGCTTCCTCTGCTGCGGAGCTGCATGTTCTAACTCATCGGCGTCTGGGGACTATGCAATGAGACTTAGAGCATTCACGACAGATTGTTGTAAGCTAAAAAACTTAAATTAAAAGTATATTTTGACTTTAACTGTTGATTGTGTCAATTAAACACTCATTTTAATTATGCAGGAGAAGCTCGAGCATCTCCAGAAGAGGCACTTGTTCACTCAGGCCCAGACTTCCGCTAGCAACAGTGGTAGTTAGTCTACTACAATGCAGTTTGAGTACGAGATTTGGAGCTAGGAGTCAGGGTAGAAGGAGAGGGTTTATGGCCTTCGAGCGAAGGACATAACCTTCGAGGTCGAGCTCTCTTGCAGTCCTACACTGAGTTCCTCAAGCTTCTCACAGCTAGACCAAGAGGCTCTTGTCATGTAGGTGGCTACAATGAGCAAAGAGATTTGCCAGTTTCACAAGCATTTGCTAGAAGGCCAACATAGGTTCAAGGACTTTATTGAGCGTATGACAGAGACTTTAGCATATCGTCGGGGCAAACGACCAATGTCATCCATAGAGGAGGAGGAGGGTGGTGATAAGCAGTTTATTTTTTTTATTTATTTGTAAGCATTTTTTTAAATATTTGTTGTGGAATTTTTTTTTACATTTACTTTTTTTATTTGGGAAGATTTATGACAGTATCTTCTTTTTCATTATAATATTTTTTAGAGCTTTGATTTATGGTATGACTAGATATAATATGGTATGTGATGTGAATTATATGTTGTGTGCATGTTATAGAAATGTAATTGATCTTCTGAATTTTTCTTTTCGGTGGTACAGGTTTGCATCAGATTTATGTTTGTTTTGCATTGAAAAGTCCTACGCTAAAATGACAATAATACTTTGTCATTCATCGATATTATTCGCCTAAAATTTGACTGTAATCTGATAATATTCTTCATCGTTTGATTTTTCAGAAGCAAAATTCAACACAAGTGTAGGCTAATTAAAATCTGACGTTATTACTATGCAAAAACCGACGCAAATTATTTGTGTTGGAATATTCCGACTTAAAATTTGACGGAATTAATATTATCAACCATCGATTTACCTACAAAAAAAATCAAACTCAAATCTGACGATAAATCTTAAAGATCGTCAGATTTGCCTTTGATTTGTGTCTGATTTGGATGACACAAATTTGCTTAATTCATGTAGTAATTTTGCACCATTGTGTTACATTGTTGACTCTTACGTGCATTTAAGTTATTTTACTTATAGAGTGCTAAAAGATATTTTTTCTTTATATGAGTTGGTTTATTTTATGTATTGAATAAAGAATTGTTATATCATGGTTCAAAATCTATTTAGATGGACTTAGAAGGCATCATTATTTCAGAGGTTAGAAGTCTTATCAACTTATCATCAGCCTTTATAATGTACATTTTTTTATGATTAAGAATTTAGGGGCTCCTTCTCTCTTAGGTGTTGTCCTTAGATTGCTTGGAAAAATGTAAGTCAAGTCTCAACTCTAGTTTCTTGTCTCGGCTCAATTCCTTTAGTTTCTCCTTTGAGTTTCATGTCAACTACTGCCTCCTTGTTGTTTGGGATTCATCTCTTCACATATTATAAGACACTTATATCCAAGTCACTATTCTAATATTATCTAACTGCCACTCTTACATTGTTATCTTGTTCTGATGCAATCTCTTTATGTTGGACTACTAATTCAGTCAATCTCAATTGATTAGTATTGTTGCCTAAATGTCCATCATATTGAACCAGAAAGACAAATGAAAGTTTTTAATCAAGAGCATTCTTTGGTATCTTAATAAGGATATGATGAACTATCCGAAATTTAATCCTTCATAAATTAATACCCTATATTCTCTTCGCTTGCTCTGACATCTTATGCCATACCAGGGCAATCTCTGAGAGATTGTTCTCATTTTTCCTTAAAGGTCTATCATTATTTTCACAGAACCACATGAGTCTTTCAATGATGCCCATAACAATATTTTAATAGGACTCCAAACATGTCTATCACATACATGTTTTCACCAATTAATAGTTCAATATTTCTTTTCTAGAAAGATGATGAGTATCAAATTCAGTGATTATCTTAATACAAGTATTATATTGCATGCACTCCTAAGTACTTACCAATTTAATACTATATACCATCAATCTCATAATAGCGTGTATTTGGAAACAAAGAAAATCTTCACCTATAAGCTTGCTTTGTGCAGTTGCAACTGAATTTACAGTTTCCAATCAGGCTATCCATTAAATCCATTATTCTATTCTCACATGATGATTTATCAATATATTAATTATGCCTAAAAAAAATGCTCCATCCTTCTCGATCCTTTTCAGCTTGATTAACTACTCTTATCACAATATCTGGGGGCATTTTAGACATTTTAACCAGCATTAATTAAGTTCTAGCCTTAATTAATTCCCCTTTGCAAAATATCATGACATGCATAGCCTTTAGGTGTGTATAAATTAGTGCAGCTAAATCAAGGGATATGGCCAACTAGCCATATTACCATCTCCAACACCATTACTCTCTCTCTCTCTCTCTCTCTTCTCATGGGAAGATCTCCTTGTTGTGACGAGAATGGCCTCAAGAAGGGGCCTTGGACTCCAGAAGAAGACCAGAAGTTGGTTCATTACATCCAGACGCACGGCCATGGGAGCTGGAGAGCTCTTCCTAAGCTTGCTGGTATCGTCTTCTTCCTCTGTTCTCCGTTCTGTTTACAGTATACTTCAGCTTGTTTTAATGTAAAAAAATGGCTTTTTTTTTCCTTTTTTTTTGGCTTGCAGGGTTGAATAGATGTGGGAAGAGTTGCAGGTTAAGATGGACTAATTACTTGAGGCCGGATATAAAGAGGGGAAAGTTTTCGGCTGAAGAAGAGCAGACGATCCTCAACCTCCACTCGATTCTTGGCAACAAGTAACTTCTCTTTTTTCACGCTGTGCCTTCAGTTAGTTTTTTGAAGAGTTAGTGAACATAATTTGAAAAAGATAGATTTCATTTTCAACTATTTCTTACACTAAATTAAAAATTGTGAGATTTGCATATGTAGGACACAATTTTTATGTATTTACATATCTCTTAACTAAATTAACTTTCATATTTGCATACATAGGACTTTGGAAGGTGTGTTTCATTTTTAAGAAGTGGTAATAGTCTTATATGTGTAAGTATGAAATTTAGAGGCTTGAAATGTAAATACAATTATGCAAATGCTCCTAGAAATTGTTATCGAGGCCTAGTTGATAAATTTTAGAAAATGATAATCTGAGCTATTATAGTGGATTTATTTGAAAGTTGGGCAGTTAAATAATCATTGATATCTAAGTGGAGCACGTAGAAATGAAGAAATTATTACGTGTGGAATCAGCAAGAACACATCATGGCAATTTCACATACATGTTAACATGTTCATACATGAGTGGTTTTCAGTATGTACGTGCAGACATGCAACAATCTACATATAACAATTTCTCATTGAAATGAAAGTATTATAATGTAGACATCTGAAAATTAAGAAGGATAAGTTAAGGGATGATTGAGATTACTTTTATTAAAGATTTAGGTGATTGGAAATAATTTTTGATGTTTAAGCATGCGCATACAAAATTAGTGTCAAATGTTCAGAAAATAAAAATTGCAAAATCATAAATAAATAAATAAAAGAATTATTTAAAAAGTCTATAATCATAAATTTAGCATATAAGATGGACCTCAGTGTAAACGAATGAAAACTAACAACTCATAAAATCAAACCTAAATGATTGGAATAAAGTTGATAAGAAAGTTAATGATTTATAACTTCCAGAACCAAATGGGCCCATCCCAATGTTAACAATATAGTTACATACCAGAAAGTTATTATTGAATTAAAAAAGGGGCATTTAAGTAAATACCACCAAACTCTTATTTCCTTAAGTATTCAATACCTAATTACATTTCTATAGCCCAAACATTTTATATCACACCAAAAATATCATTAATTTTTAAAATATCAAGTACTACTTTTCATGCATAGTTAAAACTGTTCGTATTTATATGTCTATATATGTATCTATCTATCTGTGTGTGCGTAAAAATTGAACTTTTAGGTGTTAGACATGCAAATACATGAGAATTGAGTGGTATGTATGCATGTAAATCTTCCATTAAAAACAACCTTCACCTCCTTCCTTCCCAGGTGGTCAGCTATAGCAACTCATCTTCCTGGCAGAACAGACAACGAGATAAAGAACTACTGGAACACCCATTTGAAGAAGAAGCTCATACAGATGGGATTCGACCCAATGACCCACCAGCCGCGAACCGACTTCTCCGCCGCCCTCCCCCACCTCCTCGCCCTCGCTAACCTCGTTGATCACCGCCCCCCTACCTGGCTCGACGGCCTCAAAACCGACGCCGCCGCCCGCCTCCATTTACTTCACTACTTCCTCCAATCCGCTCCGGCGGCCACCACAGGATTCGAATCCATGGACAGCTTACTAAATCCTCAACCCCTCTCCTCTTATCCCATCGAACAAAACATAATGAACCTACCACATCCACTAGAACAGCCAATGAGCTTTGACTGTCAGATGAGTAATGAAACCCTAATTTATGAGGAAACCAAGCTTCCATTAATGGAGTCTTTTGTATCAACTCTACCGGCGCTGATTGATATATCGAACACGGAGCATCCATGTAGCACCTCAAGTTGTGAGGCCAGAGGGAATTGCAGCACCTCGGCCGCCACGTCCTTCTGGCCGGAGTTCTTGCTTGATGATTCATTCATGAATGAATTGGCTTGATGTTTTCTCTGTATATTTTGTTCTTTTAGTTTAAAAAGTTTCTCTTAAGTGGTCTGAGAAACTGTGAATTATCAATCTTAGTGTGGAGAAAATATTATGTCCAAATATTGGATTCGATCACATCATTGTATAACATGATGTAGACAACGGACGTAATATTTTCTCTTCAGTGTGATATAAATACGGTTGTTAATATATCAATATATACAAATATAGACACACGTGGAGTTGCAATGTTTTGCATTGGTTTGATCTTGTTTGAAGATTGATATAAATTAATATAGATTGTTTGATTATTGAATTTATTTTGAGATATATATAATATAAGAGACTGTATTATACTTATTTATCTAGTGGGAAATCTAATATTTGTAAAATTCATCTTGAACAACATATAATCACCTTAAAGGCTAAAACTTTTCCATTGCTCTTCACTTGACTCTGATTTGCATGTCATTATTATTCTTATTATCATTAGTAATAGTAGTAGGCTCATTTACATACATACCACCAAATTCTTATGCTTTACATGTCTAACATCTAAATTTTAGTTTTTTATTTACATTTATAAGACATGAACATTACTTATAACATAAAAAATATCATTATTTTACTTTTAAAAATGAAATCGAGGTTTAGGTGTTAGAGATGTAAATACGCATGAATTGACAGGTTTACATGTAAGATTGATTGCCTTATCTCTATGTATCTGGATTTGTGATTCGTGTAATGGTCTTAGTTAATAGTTATAATATGGAGTTGATATAGCTACTGCTGCATGCAACAGCAATAAACAATATTATCACTATTTAATAATTCCACGATGATTGTGATATATTGCGATAATAATTGTGGCATTTACATACATCACCGCCCCATTCCTATCTATTTACATATCTTTTAATATCAAAACATTACTTGTTACATTTTTACCACCCTCATCTTTCATATCATGCACAGTAAAAATATCATCATTAAACTTTTAATAAGTGATATGCAACTTTCATGCATAGGTAACATGTGTGTAAAAATTAAAGTTTAGGGGTGTCATATAAGTAAAATTGTAGGCTTAAATAATTTGAATTTTCATTCCAGAGAATGTATATATCATGCACAAACAATAAATGCAACAAAACTTTGAATGAGTTATTACATAAATATTTAAAAAATTATAGTTCAAGTCTGGCGTTGATCTTATGTAAATATTTTATATGTATGATATACTTCAAATATATATAATTTACCCTAAACTCTAATTAATGTACAACATTAAGGATGTTATGAATACAAGCTAATGTCAATAAATGATCAAATAATTAGTAAATTAAGCAAATGAATGCCTCTAAATTTATCTATCAATCATAATCACAAGCAGCTTTTTTCTAATTAATATGCATCGGATTCCAAAAATTTTAAATATATGCCTTAAAATTATTTTTCTTAATGGGCAGTTGAAGTTTGCCTTTTCATACAAGACATTGACTAGTAAGTCTATCAAAATTAAATATTTTTATTTTTATGTCAACCCTCAGGGTTTGTAATGTATTTTTCTCAATGAAGGGGTTAATTTAGTGAAAAGCTTGACTAAAAGTGGGGTTTGGTTAGGGTTGTCAAGGAAATGTTGAAAGTTTCGAAAGTGAAACTTGGATAGTTAAGTTTCCTATGTCACTATATATATATATA